TTGTTCTGCTTTGCAGCGCGGTGGCTTACGCATGCGGCGTGCTCTCAGAGACAGGAGTCAGCGGTGCCTCGCAGACTACACCCGTTCAATCGTTGTCGGGTCTGCGTCTCCTCGCCTGGCTCGGACGACAAGCCGCCTCTACCTCCACCGTCTCCGCTGTTCCCTTCCTCTTTCATCGTGCTACAGCTCCTTTCCTACGGTGCGTCAACCTAGTCGAACTCTCACCTCACTTCCATTCCTCTCTCCCTCTCTTCATTACACTACTCTCTCCTAGATTTCTCCATCTGTGGGTGCAGGAAGGTGTGCACGAGGATCCTTTCAACGAGTTTGGCATCTGTGTCAACAGTCGATTCTTATTCAGAAAAGGTAGGTTTCGATAGCGCTTTTTGGAGCCAGTCAATGATGCTTCTGACGGTGCTTTGATGAGTGTCTCGAGGTCTGCCCTACCAGCTATCTAGGCAAGTGCACCACTCCTTCAACACTTCCTTTCTACTACGGGTTGCATAGATGGGATCTAATAATCAAGGATAATTAATGATGGTACTGCTTACGATGTGAATGAATACCACTGCCTTGATTGGATGCTTAGTTTTATCTTAATTAATAGACTACCTTGGTTAAACATGGTTTCTGATTAATTGAAGAGTAATGTAAAAATACGGCGATAACGGAACGGTTTTCTGCCTAGACTTGTTTTGAAAAGAATTGTGCTACTCGTGAAAGTAAACATCTCACCGGCTGTGGTTAAGTATGGGGTTCACAATTTGCTACTGTGTCAGGTAATGAAAAATCGCTTTCAACATCAAAAAGTTGTCCATCCGGGGATCTGATCTGACACAAGGGATGTTCCACTGACTTGCAGTGACTTGGGGAGCTCGGAGAATGCTCGTCATCGTCTCTATGCAAGTTTCATAAAGCATTGGTGAAAATACGTCAGTCCACCGGCACGATGAACATACTAGTGTACCCTGTGTCTTCATACGCTTTTGGTTGAACCCGATGGGTGGCATTGGAACTTGTCCGCCTTTCGAACGGCGTTTACCTCAATTCCAGAGCTGCAAGAACTTCTCACCTAATTTGTATGGCATTCGGCGAATCAAACGGCTTGGATAGTTTGATTTCAGTAATGGATTACTCAAAAACGGATGCATTAAAGGTAGAGGAGGAAAGACTCTTCTAATCTTCACAACAAGGAATTGCGTGCTGCTATTGATGCACTGGTTGGAGCCTGGCGTTTCAAGACAGTCTTATGTAATGTTGAACTGTGTGAGTGATGAAGGAGTTCGCTTACTCCTACATCAACCGAGAGGGAGAAGTAGTCGAGGTGGCAGCATGCCATGCATCAACAGATGGCAACAAGCTCGACAGACTCTCACTTTGTCATTCACTTACTTCACGTGTGTTCTAACTACGCGTCGCTTGTGGATACTGCTTTACCCTCTGTCTTTCGACGATCATGGATCTGCGAACCCTAATTGATTATCACCAAGTTCTGGCGTGATACCATCACACAGCAAGTAGGGTGGACAGCTGGAAAATCAAAATGGGATGGAAACGGAGGTGACTTCGAGCGCCAATATGCTTCACAAAAGTGGAA